GCGACAGCTGGCTGCTGCAGGCGACAGCTGGCTGCTGCAGGCGACAGCTGGCTGCTGCAGGCGACAGCTGGCTGCTGCAGGCGACAGCTGGCTGCTGCAGGCGACAGCTGGCGCAGATCTGCCTGCTAGCTACCAACTATGTATGCAAACTAGAGATCTACATGCCAGCTACCATCGCTCCATTCTAGCTACCATGTTGGTGAGCAGTGATACTTTTGGTCTCCGGTATCGACAGCGAGTTTCCTTACATAAGTTTAACTGCAGAATAACTGGTGAACACTCAGTGTGATTGTTGCAATACTAGAAAAATTTTTGAGGAATACAGAAGAAGTTTATCCTTGAATAGATATTATGGACTTTAGAAAATAAAATAAAATAATTTTTGCTTTGGTTTTTAAATCTCCATGAATCCCCCAGTCCCAGTTCAGTTATATTATTGTTTTCCTACTTTGTTCCTTCTCCCATCTATTTTACCATCATGCACTGCATTAAAATATCCAACTATAATTAAACCTTCAGCATCATCATAGCAATGAAACCTACAGAAACATCAGGTCATCATACTTGATGATTTCTAAATGTAATGAGTTGGGCCTCGTCTATAAAACACTGCAGTTTTCATATTAAAACTTGGCATAAGGATAAATTTTAAAAAAAGTGCGGCGCAGAAAAAAATAGGATGTATAAAGTCAGCTGAGCACCTTTTCTTTATAAACATAGCAGCTGCTGGTCGGCCTGTCGCCTCCATAAATACATATCAATGTAAATTAGCATAAAAACATGGAAGTCTGTCGCCACGTGAAGCAGTAACCATGTTTTAGCAGTACAAGTATTTATAATAATAATGTATTTTACTGAAAAGGTGCATTCAGGGCCCATAAGGTGACCTCACAAAAATAAAAATACATTTTAAACGAAAACAAAGAGATTGTACTGCTGGAGCAGCAGAGCTTCAGCACAGAGTCAGAGGCTCTGAGGGGAAAGTTTCTTCTATATACGGGAATCATGTTTATTTACATTTACAGAATAGAGATGCTTCATGTCCATAAGGCGCATTCACAAAGCGGACGGCTCCACTGGAGGAGGGCTGCAGCTGGACCGGTACCGGTACCGCTCAGCTCCTTCTTTAAGTTCTGCTTAGACTGGGTAATTATACACTAGTAAACCATCATCAACATTTCCCATCCAATCAAATTGATCAAATTTAATTGGCATGAATCAAAGTTTAAAGGTTAAAATTACTCAAATGTGTGACCTTTGACCTCTAGTCCAATTATCAGGTAGGAAACAACTGAAGATCATCATCATGTGATCTGGATCAGAACCAGGAAGCTGCTGGTTCTGATCCAGAGACAAACTCTCACCTGATACAACCAGGCTGACGGTGCTGATCAGTTTCTTCGCATGTTTTCCTGTAGTGGTTCGACATTCATACGTCCCGATGTCATTAGTGGTCGTGTCCTTCAGAAGCAGAGACACGTCTCCTTTATCCATCTGCTTCAGATCAACCCGGTTCCTGTAAGATGGATGCTGGGCTTCTGGATTGATCTTCTTGTCTTTGTACAGGAGGACAAATTTTGATGGCCCCAGATCGGTTCTGCTCCACTCTATGACTGTGATTTCCCCCTGATCAGGATCTTCACATGGCAGAATGACGTCATTTCCATGTTTAACGTTGATTGGTGTGTTGTTCTGATCTGAAGGAGAGAAAACGGAGCAGAGAGGTCAAAGGTCAAAGTGTGATCAGTGCAGGTCTCTGTGATGAAGACTCATCGGTTTCTGCTGCTGGAAAAACAACCTAACAGACCGGTTCAGGGTCAAAGGTCAGCTTCCAGAGACAATTTTAATGTTTAAAAATGTCTTCACAATAAAAACTGCAGGATTTTCTGCTATGCTTTTATTTTTGTTTTAAAGAAAACATTTGATCAAAACAGCCATACAAGCTTCATGAAATAATATTTAATCTGTTTATTGAAGGAACTAAATTAATAAATAGAAGATCTAAAACTACCAGAGTCTCTGAGGCTCATTGATGATCAGATGGATGATATGAATCAACATTCAGTTTCCTTTGGAGATTAAAAAAGATTTCTGAACTGAATTTAATCTCTTGCTGGTTTTCCTGCTGGTCTTTTTGACACAGACTGAATAAAACCATGAGAGAAGAAGCATTTATTATTTATTAGAAGATCAGCTGAAGATTCATGCCAGAGCAGGAAGAACATCAAGTTTCTCTCCACATTTAAACAAACATGTCACAAAAAAATTAATACTATTGTAGGAGCCATATACACATTTTTTGAAACTTTATACAAAATGTTATTTTGTGTTAACGCGAGTTTCATCTGCTGCTATTTTACAAACATAAACATCTGTAATTGTATTGTGCTTAAGCTTATTACGGTGCCTTTTGATTGGCTACTGACTAGTTAGTTGATGAGAGCACCTGCTCATTGCAGAAGTCTGGCACCTTGAGAGTAAATGTCTTTTGACTTTCTATTTGTTTTGAATCTGTTATTTTTATTTCCTTTTAAGTTCAGTAAAGACTTAAAGACAACCGTCGGATTCAAGACCTTTTTCTTTTTTAGAAACGTGTCGCGTACGAAAGAGCCTTAAGGATCTAGACTAGTGAGAGCTAGCTGCACTTAAAAACATCTGTTAGTAAATTTTGTTAAGTTTTACTGAATTACCATGAAATTATAGCATGAAAAGTGACGAAACTCTCTTTAACACATCAGAGTCTCAGTCCAGCTGGTCTGTAGAATCAGCCTCCATGTTGGTTCTGCAACAGGTAAGAGTTTAAAACCCGCCGTTAGCTCTGGTTGCGCAGCTCTATGTGAACCGCAGGAATGACTTGTAGCGAATTCAGAGGAGCGCTGAGCGGTGAGAATGATTTATCTTTGGGAGCAAAGAATTATTTCTGCAATGATGAAAGTTTGTGTCTGCGGTACCGGTTAGTCAGTGCGTTAGTGGTAGGGAAGTTGGATGCTGGTTTCCTGGGACCCGATACGGTCCTCAATATGCAAGGCAAACATGCAGAGGTTCAAGATGATAAAGGTGTGATGTTCCGGATGATAAACACTGACCATCTGAAAATCTGCATTAGAGAGAGTCTCCGACTGCCACATTGTTTAAAAAATGAAGGAAGCAAAATGAGTTCTCCTCATCCCCTGGCTCATCCAGCACCGCCTCCCTCCTATAGTCAGGCTGCTACTCAATCGCTAGCAGAGAAATGTACATTTTCTTTTAAATTCATATAAATACATATCAAAGCGTATAAATTTGGATTATCAAACATATGCGTGTCTGAAAGGCTTTCGTCTTGTTTTAATGAAAGGTGTCACATGAACTCAAATAATTAGGAAATTATTCTGGGAATCAACAATCAACACCATAACTGGACTTTAGTGGTAATAAAAGTTTTTAAAATTTAAAAACAACCTACATTATTTTTATCTCAGACGTAAACCACATGAAAATTGTCGAATGCACCCTTTATAGGTGATCTACCCACAGGAGAACAAGTCTTTGTTCTTGAATCCACTGGGGCAATCAAATCAAGAAATCCAGAAATGTTTGCAAATCACAAGGTATGGTAGAAAATTGAAGTCCAACTCAAGTATGAAATCATATAAAGTTCTTCTTATTACTATATCTGTATTTACAGGGCGTTTATGAGGAAGAAGGGGTGCAATGTCTCTAGTTGGACATGTGACACAGTGAAGCATCCAAAACAACAGGACATCATGTGGTGTATTTGCACTGAAGGTGCACACATATTGTCACAGTGTGACAATTTTGATATATATTTTGAGACACGTACAGTGAATTACTTTGTTTGTTACCTAAACTTTGAACCATTAAATCAGGGGTCCCCAAACTACGGCCCGCGGGCCGGATCCAGCCCGCCTCCACATTTGGTCCGGCCCCTGAACAATACCAGAGAGCATTCAGATTTTTTATATATACCGTATTTTCCAGACTGTAAGCAGCTACTTTTTTCCTAAGCTTTGAACCTTACGGCTTATATGTGGATTTTTCTTCAGCCACCAGGGGGTTCTTTAGCAGGAAGTGAATCATTGGAAGTCAAAACTGGACATAAAAGAAGAAAGCGCCAATTAAAATGGAGTTAGGTTTTAATAGGGAATTGAAGTTTGAGAATGTTGTTGATCAGTTAAATAGCATTGAGGAGAAAAAGAAGATTTTTTGTTTTTTAAATAATACTGGGATCATTATGAGAATTTGAGGTATAGATATTAGGATCCAGTAGATGGCAGTAGTGCAACAATAATGGATGCAAGCTGCCGTTGAAATCTAAAGAAGAAGAAGAAAGCGCCCATTTTCATTTAGCTCATGCTAGTAGCAACACGAAGGATCAGCACTTTACTGCAATAGTTACCGTTCAGAAAGTACCGTAATCAGTTCAGTTACATTCAATCGACCTGTGATGACTCAGATGCTGGCTGTCCGCCCCCCTGCTGCATCGCTGTGGAAAACCTGGAGCGGCAGAGAAATCTGAGGCTTATATGTGCATGTTTACTGGGTTTTTTTGTTTTTTTAAATCTCTGGGGTTGCAGCTTATAGTTCAGAAAATACGGTATTTATTTCATCAATAGTCCTGACTTTTGTTCTGTGAAGAACCCAGAGAGGGTTATTTATTTTACTTTTTTTACATTTAGGCTCCTGCAATCGTCACTTTTTCTGCTGCAAACTGACTCCGGCCCCCAGCAGAGAAGGGAAAAGTCATGTGGCCCTCAGGAAAAAGTTTGGGGGCCCCTGGATTAAATGAAGCTGTAGATTTCAGTTTGCAGAAAAACTCCTAGCAAAAGAGGTTGTGGATTTTCCTGTTTCCACTGCGGCGTCTACAGCATGAGGTTGGACATTGCTGTGACTTATTCTGAACAGTGGTGATTATAACATTAATATTCTTATTGTTAATGAACATTTTTATCATGATTACTATAATTTGTAAGATTTAATAAAAAAATATGTACTTAGCTAAAACTTAATACATCAACATGGAATATGAAAACAGTTATTTAAGGAAATTGTCTAAGTAGGATAATTTCATTTTCTATAGTTATTAAAAGTTATCATTCTGTTTTTCTTTTCAAAAATGACTGTTGGCACTTGGCACATCCTGTGCTAGGCACAGAATGTGGCAGTTTCATACACACACACACACACACACACACACACACACACACACACACACACACACAAACAAACAAACAAACAATTGTACATGCAGGATCGTGTGTGTGTGTGTGTTTTGTTTTTAACAGATGACCTAAAAGACTTGTGCCACTTTTGTGGAGATGGAGAGTGACACAGACGTGAACTGGGTAAGAAATGTTATAGAATTATTCAAAGACTTGGAGTTAGTGAGTTAAAGGAAGAGAACAAGTTTTAACTCATTTTTTCTTGCGTAAACAAGCTTTAATAAGATTCTCCAGCAGTTGTAATAAAAGGGAATCTAAAATGATTCATACATATATTGTCATTGTAAAGACATGTTTTCCTAAAATAGTTTATATTTCTTGTTTCTTTCCTAGATCCAGTGTGCCGTGTGCCTGAGGTGGTTCCATCAGGCCACCCAGTTGAAAACGCTTATGAGTGTGTTGCCTGTTTGCCCTAAGATCCTGAGTTTGCTGTGCAAGTAGTTTATTAATGTTGAACAATGTTTAATAAATTACATTTGAATACTATGACATTTGTCCTTAAACTTTAATTTAAGGTAGCTATGGAAAGGTAGTTTAAATCACACAATGAAGAGCAAATATATATTTCAAAAACACAGTAAAAGACTGGCAGGTAAATTAATTTGTTTCCATATTTTAGAGGGGGAACAGATTATTTCATCCATCCTCTCTTCTTCTCCCATAACTTTGGGAAATAAAAAGCAACTGTTTCCAAATTCTCAAAAATTATTATGTGTGACAGCATGCTAGACATTTCCTTAATCCAGTAATCTGTCATACTTTACATTAGAACGGGATTTCCCAGAAAAAATGAATTATGACACCAGTGATTCCATAATCTTGAATCTCACAGCACTAAAAACAGGATTTACTAAAATTGCAACTATATAATTGCATGACACAGATAATCTACACGCATTTATACACGAGATTCCTGAGCTCAGCTTCACATGTGGGAACAGCATCATGTACAAACACATGGCACTGCTTGTAACCCGCAATTAGACTTTTATTGTTGCGGGCCCACTTCCTGTTTTGTCCCAAACTTGCCAGCTGATTTAAAGCCCCGCCTTCAGTGCACAGTTTGAACTTCATCATCTGTTCCACTGTGATTGTGGCTGATTTGGCTGGAAATGCACCCATATCTCTGATTCTACAGATTTGATCTGTTGGTGAGTTTGTTTGGGTGACAGCACTATGGGGTTGATAGCATGAAACCTCAGCTTGGTTGCTCATTGGAGCGTTGATTTATTAGAACTGTTGGCGTTTGTTACCTGGGCCGTCACCAGGATTATCACAGCTGATTGAGGTCTAGTTAGTACACCCCTCTCTTCACAAAGCTAACCGAATCGCCGGTATTGTGCGTGTTTTGGCACTAAATGTGTTAAAATAGGATTTAAATACATTTAAATTGATAATGCGCAGTATATTTATTTTATTTTCCTCAGAGTATTTTGAGTTGATTTATTTTCCATTTGATTATTTTGAAAGTGAACTTTGATTTCAACTTTTCAACTTTAACTTGATTAGTTTGAGATATGATTGATATTATTTTTTATTTAAATTATGGTTAATTTAACCTGACTGAAATGTTTAGTTTAATTATTAGATATTTAATAATTGCATTGACTTTATTTATTGCATTTGTATGTCTGCACATTATTGTTGTTTGATAAAACACTTAACGGGTTTTTTTTAGGTCAGGTTTTTTTTTTCCTCATGATGGATCAGAACCTCAGATCCCCTTTGAAACCAAAAACTCTGATCTTTGATCTGATTTATCTGATCTTTCTGATCTTTGTCTCTCATTGTGTATTTGTAATTGTCTGTTTTGTTTTCCCCCCCTTCAAATCACTTTTTAAGATAAGTTGCTGATTTGACATGATCACAGAACTGCCTAAACATATGTACAAAAATAGCAGACAAAGTGAATCACAGCACCGTCATCAGCCGGTGAAACGCTGAACTGATGCAGTGAAGCTACTAGTAGCAGGAGAACGAAGCTGCGCCAGAAGCTACAAATACTGAAGAGAAGGAGAAGAAGAAGAGCTGCCATCGATACAGATGCAGCCAAACATGATTTACTGTTACACAACACAGTTTTAGCAAGTTTCTCAAAGTCTAAACTGGTATTGTTGTGCATTTAAGGTATGAAGTTTACCTTCGACCAAACGCCCCCCAAAGGCATCCCAGCGCCCCCCTTTTGTAAAAATTCCCGCTAGCGGGGCGGTCCTCCGAACGCCCCCCAGGGGGCGGTACCACCCACGTTGAGAACCCCTACTTTAAGATCTGGTTCACAGAGTATGAAGTTATTTATTTTTTCCCAATTATTCAATGAAAAAAATTAAAAATTAACCTCAGTTAAGTAAAATAAAATTGTAATCAAAACTTTTGGAATTGTAATGATTTCTTTTTTTTAAAACAAAATGTTTTTTGTTTAAATAACTTTTTTCTAAATTAAATAACTCATTTTTGTCTTGTGAACTTAAAAAGTTATTTTCCAAACATAAACTTTTATTTGCACACCTCAGAAATATTTTTTTGTGTGATTTTGGGCCCTGCCCACGACGTCATGTGAGAAAAAAAGTTTGTAAAGCAAAACTCAGCAGGCCTTTCTCATGGTGGCATGCATTAACAATTCAATATTTGCTTTTGTTTTCTTCTGCAGTTACAGTTTGGTGCAGCTCTGCTTTCTGAATGGACCATCTTCATCTCCACTGCAGCAAACAGGCAGCTCTTTGTTTTATAGATTACATTACACTAAAGGCTGCATTGTGCCCTTGTTTACATTTTTAACAGTGTAGTTCTGTGTAAAGACAAAATGTGTCTGGTGGTCCATCTCTGATTTGCATATCTTGCTAATTTGCTGGTTTGAATATTGCAATACTTTCCTATAACAAAATAGACCTGCAGAAAGAAACTACTAATACAATCTTACATATGCATAGTTGTATGTTTTATATAGAGATTTTCCTCAGCTTTGAGTCTACATCTGACAATTTTGTAATTTGTCATTGTTTGTTAAACTCTGATATTCTGTCCTAAAATGCGGTTAGATGGGCCCGGGTTTTTTTTTTGTTTTTTTTGAGCCCCTGCCCCTTTAGTGGTCTCTGCACGGCCCTGTGTGCCATGTTTGGGTTTAAAACCGAATTGATTATCAGAGGTCAATACAAACTCGTCCAACCTAATTAATGGGATTCTTTCTAAAACTTTTGACAGACTACTAGCTAAATCTATGGGTCGGTAATTCTCCAAAGAGCTAATCTTACCCGCTTTGTCCTTCATAACGGGTACGAGTATCATAGATGAATGTTAAATCAGGGAAAGAGCTAAAACATGTAAGATACCGGCTCTTGAGGGCTGAATCAGACATTACTGTACGTAAAGTTTAACAGGTTTTCCAGCTGAATGTAAGTAAATAACTTTAACCAGGTGTAACAGCTGAATCTCACCTGCAGCAGAGACAAACTGCATGAAGACCACAGACAGCAGCAGCAGAGACGCAGTCAGAGAAGAATCCATCTCCTGGTTGGTTCGGTCTCTCCGTCCGAAACTTAAGATTCATGCGACGTTTCTAAGTGGAAAACATTTTGTCGGGACATAAAAACTCTGAAGTTTAACTTAAAACACAACAAGCTGTTAGAAGAGCGGTGGAACTAGAATAAACTAAAGAAACTCTGAGAAAGCGAAAACTCACTGCGTGCTGAGGCTGAGCCCTGCTGAAGCAGAAAGGGTGGAGGTGAAGATGGAGCTTATGATGCCTTCCAGGGGCAATGAAGAAATGGGAAATCCCAACTTCCCAGTCGAGAAGGACCTCGCTGCAGCAAACAGAAAGGGGCGGGGACGGACCACTAAATGGGATCATTGCACTCCGGGAGTGAAGGGGGCGCTATTTCCTCTATTATCCGCGGTCTCCCATTTTAATTTTCTTTTGAAATCTGTGATATAGCTTCATCTGTAGAAAGGAGTTTCACTCTCTGCATGCATTTGTATTTCAACTTCTCCTTTTTATTTACTTCAGCGCAGCTCACAGCTGTGAGCTTGTGTACTTCTAAATCTGCTTCTTAGTCGCATCTTTTCGCGCCCCATACTGCCTCTAGTGGCGTGGGGGTGGTAACACAACTAATACAATTATGTCACTAAACGAGAATACCACAAAATTTTTATTATTTACTATTAATTTCGCCATTACTGGTAAAGTGAAAGATAAATTATCTTCTAAAATACCATATTTTTCTTCAGGATGTATTGCTAATTAAGTGATATAAACAACACCTTTATACATTATAAATATCTATACAGTATAAGAATGATTTTCTGTTGTTCTTCCATGGAAGTGGGCAGCATCCAGACAAACATTAAAACACTTTTTCATACAAACGTACAATGTTTGGGATTGTACATATGTACAATGTGTTCCACACATTGGTGATTCACTTGTCTAATTCACCAGACAGTGAATCACAGCAACGTCATCAGCCGGTGAAAAGCTGAACTGATGCGGTGAAACTACAAGTAGTAGTAGTGGAGCTACAAGCTACAAATACTGAATAGAAGAAGAAGAAGAGCTGCCATAGATACAGTTGCAGCCAAGCATGATTTAATGTTACACAATACAGTTTTAGCAAGTTTCTCAAAGTCTAAACTGGTATTGTTCTGCATTTAAGGTGTGAAGTTTACCTTCAACCAAAGGAATCCCAGCGCCCTACTTTTGTAAAAATTTCTACTAGTGCCCCCTGCCGTCCTCTGAATGGCCCCTGGGGGGCGGTACCGCCCATGTTGAGAAACACAGAAACAGATCTAGAGGTTAAACAATCAGATATTATCAGGGTTTATTTAGTAAAATATCTTCAAATAACATTCATTACATATTAGATTAATATGGGTTGTTGATCGATGTTTTAAGATCTTGTTCAATGGGCCCTTTTTAACTTTGAGCCCCTCCAAAGGTCTCTGCACGGCCCTGGATCTCCATAACCTTCCTCTTTGTTCAGCTGTGAAAATGATTTTTGTTCAATAAAACGGTAAAGAATTATTCTGTGTTTGTTGAAAAACTTTGAACATATATTATCAATAACACATCCCTGATTAACATCCTTCCTGCCCTGCAGCCCCTCCTCTCTGCAGCAGACGGACCAGCAGCAGGAAGTAGGCGGCTCAGCCAGCCGTTCTCAGCTTCAGTGAAACATCGTCAGGTCAGATCACTGAGAAGAACAATGGAAGGAACATCTCACTGTCTGATCTGTAAGTAGACAAGTTTTAGTCTCTTTCTGCTGGATCAGCATTTCTCTCTGTCTGAGAGACACTGGAGACATTTTACTGGACGGATTTAATGATATAATTACTGTGGGGCTGGATGAGTCTGAGTATGAAAGTGATCAGTCTAATAAGTGACAGGAAATTATGTTTGGAATCAGCGCTGTATGAAAACTGAAGAAATCAATGAAGTTGATGTTTATAAATAACATCGTAATATAAAAGCAGAATTAACAAAATGAATATGAAATTGAATTTCACAACTTGAGAGTACATTATATTTGACATGTTCAGCTTTAGTTTATAATAATGTATTTTATTTTCTCTAGTTCTGATCTTCTTTCTGAGCTGTTCAACAGATCCAGGTTGGTGAACTTCTGGTACATTAAAGAAAATACTTTACATTTTCAAAGATGTGGTTTGGATAAAAGCTACATCTGAGAATGTTATGAAAATTCTTGATTTGAATAATCATTCACTCTGATGCTTTTCAGTTTTATTAATGAAATCTCTTCAGTCTCTCCAGCTGCTCTGACTGTGAGTCCCAGCAGATCTCAGTTCTTTGATGGAGAAAAAGTTTCTCTGAGCTGTGAGGATGGAAACATCTCTGATGGATGGACTGTGTGGAGAAACAAGACTGGAGGAAACAGAACTCAGTGTGATAAAGATGGATGGGGGGAATCAGCTGGTTCTACCTGCAGCATCACCTTGTACCCACATGACTCTGGCCTGTACTGGTGTGAGTCCATGTCTGGATCCTCCAGCAGCAGCAGCAGCAGCATCCAGCTCTCTGTCTCTGGTAAGATCAGACTGTGGAGTTAGTGTTGCTGTGTGGAAATGGATGAAATGCTGTAGTTTGTCTCTGTGTTGAGGTGGATCAGTGATCCTGCAGAGTCCTGTCCTCCCTGTGATGGAGGGAGATGACGTCACTCTGAGCTGCAGAGCAAAGAGTCCAGCCCACAACCTCCCAGCTGCTTTCTATAAAGATGGCTCCTTCATTGGTCATGGAACTACTGGGAACCTGACCCTGAACCCAGTGAAGAGATCTGATGAAGGCCTCTATCACTGTTACATCAGCGGTCAGGGAGAGTCTCCATCCAGCTGGATCTCTGTGGAAGGTCAGAGGATTAAAATGTTAACTTTGGTTTTCATTAGAAATTATTTAGCAATTATTTAATAAATAAAACTTTATTTTAGAGAAACCATCAGCTGCTTCTGGTCCTCCACCCTCTCCTTCACCTCCATCATCATCACCATCTCCCTCCCAGTCTCATCCCTACATCCTCGTGTCTCTAGGATCTGTGGTTTTTGTGGTTTTTCTGCTGATTATGGCTTTGCTGGTGAGACGACGTTTTCAGAGAAAACCTGAAGGTGAGACAAACCTTTATCCATTTTCTGTTGGTTCAATAAAGTTCAACATCTGAAATAGTTTGATCTGAAAGAGAATTACATTAACATTTTAGGAAGTACAGAGGTTGGAGAGAACAATCTTGCCTCCAGTGACATCCAAGTTTCTCATCGTCGACGACAGAAGAACAAATCAAGTCAAGGTGAAATTATGTTTCTGTTCTGGGTTTTGTTGGAAAACTAAAGTTAAAAAAGTTTTACCACTTTGGCATCTTTATTAAACACTGTGTTTTAGAAACAGAGGTTTTATTAAAGGCAGACAGTTTTGTAATTCAAGACTTGTTTAGCAACAGACAGTAGGAATTCTCTGATATCAGCAACATAAAGGAATAAACAGGAAATAAGTAATAAATATGTTGTGTTGATAATGTTTGAGGAATAAATCATATTCAGTAAAGTGAACGCTAGTGAAAAAAAATACTTTAGTATATTTCAATTCTCCCTAGGTATGCGTGTGTGTGAGTGTGTGTGCATGGTTGTGTGTCCTGTCTGTCTCTGTGTTGCCCGGCGACAGACTGGTGACCTGTCCAGGTGACCCAGCAGGACCTCTTGATTTTCAATCAGCTTTTTTGCACCAAAGAGTTAATATATAAACATGCTTACAAAAATATCCCATGAAAATCATGTTTTCACACGTGATCACATGTGAAAAAACATGTGATCACTTGTTTTCACATGGGATTCCCATTTCCCACATGTGCTTGTGATTTTTCACATGTAATCAATCAATCAATCAATCAATATTATTTGTACAGCACATTTCAGCAGCAAGGCATTTCAAAGTGCGTTACATAGTTAAAAACAGAAACACAGAGTCATGCAACACTAAATAAACAGTGAAAAAGGAGAAGAAAAAGAAATTAAATAGATAAAAAGTAAAGATAAAAACATCAAAGACATCAAACCCACTCTAACCCTAA